ATGGATGCACACTAATTGGGCCAAGAACTCTAAGGCAAGGGCAACTTTTTCTACCCCATTTAAGCAGGTTATTCACAATGCGGGGAGTTCTTTGAGCCATCCTTGAAGATGCAAATTCACTTAAAAAAAAAAAACCATCACATAGAGAATATTAGACTAAATTAATCTTTCTGAAGCACAGTTCTAATCTTGCCACTACCCCTATTTAAAACCAAAACAAAATGGCCTAATATCCATTTTATACTACCATTGTCCCACTGGCTTTTAGAACAGATGAAGGAAATGGATTATCTATTGCAACTGAAGTCCTAAACTGTAAGAGACTTGTATAGGTGTATTTTCCTTCCTTCCATCCCAGACCAAACTAAACGTGGTATATAGTCTGCTCTTTGCAACTTTGTAACTATGGTGTTTTTTCTTCAGGAGCCCTGTTTTTCCAGTTTTTTATTTTTCCTTCCATTGGTACCATTCAATTCTCTTCTTTCCCTACAAGATTCACTCATTACAAAGTTCAGAAACTATTTTACTCTAACAAACAAACAAACAAACCAAACAAACCTATTGCCACTGAGTCAATCTGCCTCATGCTGTCCTCATGTGTTACAGAGTAGAACTTAAAACTGATCCATAGGCTACTATTGGCTGTAGTCTCTACAGCAACAGATCTTCAAGCGTTTCTTCAGCCTCACTGCTGGGTGGGCTTTAATAGACAACCTTTGAAGTCAGTAGTCAAGAAAAAATTGTTTGTATAAGTCACGTACACTGCAGAGCCTATTGGTGATGACAATTACATATCAAACCTATTTATTTGCATAGAACCATGTTGGAGAGGTGAACATTGTGTGTGGCAGAGAATGATATTTAGATTATAACAGATGTCAGAGTCTTAAACTAAAGGAATAAAGATTATATGATGGCATTTGAGACATCCACAAGAGAATGAAAGTAATAATGAGTTTCTTCAGATCTTCAGGGCCCATTGTCCCCATCCCTAATATTTTTGAAATGTGAATATGCCTTTTAATTGATGTAGCCATTTAATGTATTGTTTATCCCACAAAATATTAATAAACTGATGCCACACCTTAATATTATCATGAACCATGCTTGATGAGTTACCTAATGGGGGAAAAAAAAAGGCCAGGGACAGGGAGGAAAGGGTAAAGAGCTAGAAAAAAAACTGAAACTGTATTGAGAAATTAATGGTATTCCTTATAATCAGTGAAATGTTGAAACCAAGAGATACTTTACAATGAGAGGGAAGTGCCTTTCACACCCTGGTGCCTTTCACATTTCCCCCTGCTTTGAAATCCCAGGCTTATGGAAAAAATGTAGATAATACTGTTCCTACATGAAGGTAAATCAAAGCAGCTGTATTCATTGACTCTTCAGCTACAAGCAAATGGTTTTTAACCTTGGGACCTCATTGATATAATGATAGCTTTTGTATAATATTCACCCTACTTGTACAAGTTGTTTACATGCCTTTTGGATTGAACATTAACACATGGATGGTGTTAATATTAAAATATGAAGTTGTCAAGTCTCTGAAAGTCAAAAAGATGTCTGATTTTCTGCTGAGACCAGTGTAAATAAAAGCCTATTTTATAACTAGAATACCTCATGACAAAAAATATTTAAAAGCTAAGGTTAAGATAAAAATATTAAAGATCTAATTTTCCATTAACACTGATTACATCAACTCTGCAAAATTAAAAGAGAAAATTAAACAACAGGACATAGATAGTGTCTCACAGAATCTTTGCATATTAATTGGTAACTGAAGGCGTATTTGACCCTTCAGAGATCCCTCTGTTCTAATTAAAAATCCATAGAGTTTAGTAGAGAGTGAAGACAATGACCAGACTAAACAAAGCATGGATTTATTCAGTTACATAGATGTTAAAAGAAAAATGAGACTTTTCTCTGTTCAAATGGAGCTGGTTCTGACTTTGTGCATTATGCCTGATTCTTGTTTTCCTCATTTGGATTTTTTGGTTATTCCCTAAATTTCCTATAATGTACTATTCGTTTAGCATCATGGGCTACAACTTGTACCCCTATCTTCAAGGAGTTGGTCAGCTATAATGCCTGACACATTCCTACAGACACACAGAGATCTCATCTTTCTTCCATGGAATGACCTGTGAGTTAAAACCACTGAGCTTTTGATTAGCAACCAAATGCCTTAACCACTACACCACCAGAGTTCCTTCCCTTAAAAATAGTTGGAAATAATTACAAAGTAAGCACAAAGTGAGTACCACGGGAGGCGGCTTCCTACATGAATTGGGGAGAGAGAAGAGGTGAGTCAGGAAGGGATCCCCGAAACAGGACACTTGAGCTAGATCTTACAGAATAGGTGGGTTTTATAGAGGTATACATGGGCAAGATGTCTGAGGAGAGAAGAAAAACATAACAAAAATGAGAGATTTCCCCAAAAAAGTTTGTTGAGGGTATTTCAAAACAATCGACTGAGAATCTGATGAGATCAGTAAAAGGAATCTATAATTAGATTCTCACCTCCCTTCTCTCATTGGTTCTCATCCTAACTCTAACAGTATCTAGGTACATGTGTAGTAAACTGGTAGAAATGAAGAAGAGAAGATAAAGCTGAAGGCTACAAAGTATTAATTATCAATCAATCAATTTCCTGAGGCCTAGAGTAAGGAGATAGGGGCAATGATAGTTCCATAGTAGAGTTCTTAAGTTCCATGTGGGAGACTCATGTTTTATTCCCGGCCAATGCACCGCCCGCACAGCAACCCCCTCTGTCAGTGGAGGGTTACATGTTGCTACGATGCTGCACAGGAGAGACTCCAGATAAATATGGATAGAGGAGAACAACTTGGCAACTTATTTCTGAAAATCAGCCAATAAAACCCTATAAATCTGAGTCCTGAAGAACAAGATGGTTTCAGGCTACCACTGCTAACTGTTGTGAAAGGAAGCATAGTAAGAGGACCCAGATGTTGTTGTTGTTATTTGCCATCAAGTCAGCCCCAACTCCTAGCAACCCCTCATAAAGTGGGGAAAATGTGGAACAAAACTCAAAATCATGAAGAAAACCAGGCTTATTCATCTGATGAAGAGTGGTGGAACCTCCGAGATGATGATCCTTAATCACTCTTCAGGCTAGGAACTGAACATAATTCCCACTGATGCAACGGGAAGCCAAACAGTAGACCTATAGGGTGCACAGTAACATCAGGAGGGTACGCACCCAGCACAACAATCAAGCATATGAGATCAAGTGGACAGCATTTGCCCAGGGATTAAAAACAAAAACAAAAACTCGCTGCCGTTGAGTCAGATCTGACTCATAGAGACCCTTCCTTGTGTTTCCAAGATGGTATAATTACTGAAGTAGATTGCCCAATCTTCCTTCCAAGGAGTGGCTGGTGGGTTTGAACTGCGACCCTTCTGGTTAGTAGTGCCTTAGGCACTACTCCACCAGAGCTCAGGGATAGAATGAGTAAAGCAGGAGGGAAAGGGAAGGAAGAATGGAAGAAAGGGGTAGGAGTAGAGAAGTGGGAAGAATGATGTCACAGTGTGGGTGGGGATTGCAGTAAATCTCACAAAACAGAATGTGTATGGATGATTGAATGGAAAATCAATTTGCTCTGTAAACTTTCACCCAATTCACAATTAAAAAAAAAAAAAAAACACCCTATGAATCACAATGTTCTGGTCCACAACTAATCACAGGGACAGTACATAACTGGATAGCATTTCATTCTTTGTGCATGAGGTCTCCAAGAGCTGAGGGCTGCAATAAGTCAAGGGCCACCATGAGTCAAGGATCAACTAGATGGCAGCGAATAACAACCAGAGTTAAGAAAGAATCAACTACAGGCATGTATCATTTTATGGTGCTTCACTTTATTGTATTTTACAGTGCATTTTTTACAAACTGAATGTTTGCTGTAACTCTGTTGAGCAAGTAGATTGACACCATTTTTCCAACAACTTGTGCTCACTTTGTGTCTCTGTCATATGTTGGTGATTCTCACATTATTTCAAACTTTTTCATGATTTTATTGTACACTTAATAGATGAAAGTAAAGTGTAAACAACTTTAATGTGGACTGGGAAACAAAAAAAAATCATTGCTTTACTGCAATATTAATTTTATTGTGATGGTCTGATATCCAACTGACAATACCTCTGAAGTATGCCTGTATTATGTCCAGGAATGTGCCCTATAAGCACAAATAATTGACAGTTAGATGGATGCTTTCAACAGCTCCAGAAAAAGCAGCTCAGGAATTTCAAAACTCGTAAAGAATCTCAATAAGCCTCTAAATACTTATTATTTCTATATTCTAGATGAATATCAGAAAGGTTAAATGATTTGTCAAAGATACCACAGCTTACTCTTGGTTTTAAGCAAGTCAGGATTTGAGCAAAGGTCTCCTGACTCTTAGCTCTTTGCTCTTTTCCCTCCACACCCACAGCCTCAGGTAATTGCAGGTATACATCTTCCACCCTCCTTGGCTCAAAAGACTCTGACGTTCTGTTTGCATTTTGCAGACTCCGTTTCACCAATTTAAAATGCTGAGCTGGTCAATTTGTATCACTTCCCTGTTTCCCAGTAATGTTTAACCTTTAAAAAAAAAAAAAAAAACAACCTAGGAGATAAAAGAGGTTATCTGTCAGGTCCATTCCACCCCTGATAGTTATTAATTTCAGAACACATCTGAATTCCTTCTCTGTGGCATGTACTTCAGTAGAAGACGAAACAGCTCTTTGCCAGGGTCAGATTTCAAATTTTCATCAGTTGACCAATACCACAACCAGATTCTTGTTTGCAGTCAACTTTTAAGATCTTCCCTGAGTATAAGTTAGTGTCTCAATACAAGCGCTTCTACTCATCATTTTCTTTAGGACTTCAGAAAATCCTCTCTTGGCAAAGGATCTGCTGTACCGAGCTGTGTTTTTGGAAACATTATCCTAGAGACCTTGGAATCCACTGTCTGTCTGCTGCCATATTTTTCAACATGGACGGTCCACAGGTGAAGAGCTTTGTAGTTTGGGATTATGTTGTGTTTGCCGGACTCTTTGTCATTTCTTCTGGAATTGGAGTGTTCTTTGCCATTAAAGAGAGGAAAAAGGCAACCTCCAGGGAGTTCCTGGTGGGAGGAAGGCAAATGAGCTTTGGCCCTGTGGCCTTGTCTCTGACAGCCAGCTTCATGTCAGCAGTCACTGTCCTGGGAGCCCCTTCCGATGTTTACCGCTTCGGAGCATCCTTCCTGCTCTTCTTCATTGCATATGCCTTCGTCATCATCTTCACGTCAGAGCTCTTTCTGCCTGTGTTCTACAGATCTGGCATCACCAGCACTTATGAGGTAAAAGAATTGTTTTCTTCTCTATTTTGAGAGGAGTTGGTATTTTCTCTCCATTTGAACTTTTTTTTTTTTAATTTTTATTTTTCTTTCTAATTATACATAGCATCATTATGACTACCCCTAGTATTTGAAGATTGGTCACTAATATTTAGGGCAACAGCACATTATGGAGAAGGCATTAACAATTATTGGAAAAAACTTTAGATACTGAAACACTGGTTTCCCCATTTGTACAATGTAAATAATGATATCAATCCCACTGGGCTATTTCAGTGTTTTAAAAGCAAGTACTTAATGCATTGCCTAACTTATAGGAAGCTCTCAAGTACAGAAAGCTGATGTTATTATTTTAATTATCATTAACATCACTGTTCTGAAAACATGAGCTGAATATATATTATAACCATTGCCATTTTCCAGCTGAGAAAATTGAATTACAGGTAAGTCACTTACTCAAGATTACATGTCTCAGTGAACAAAGTCTTCTGAGACCTCATCTTGTCTGTACCTCCATTTAGTGACATTTCCAGTAGATATTAAAGCAGAGTCTCTGATATGTGTTATTACTAGACTCTAATTTTTAATGGAGAGATGGTAATATTTTTTTAAAAAAAATTTCTCATTCCTCTCTTTCACTCCTCAAAGGTAACCACTATCCTAAAGTTAATGAGTATCATTTTCACATTTTTGAAATAAGCCTATGTCCCTAAGCAATATACAGCATAGTTTCAGGTGTTTTAAAAGTTTTTTAATTAAGTATAAATATTCTGTGCATAATAAGCTTCAACTGGCTTTTTTATTACCATTACTTGTGAGACCAGTTCATCTTGATACATTTGGCTCTAGTTTAATTAACTTTACCTACTCTATAGTATCTCATTCTATGATTATACCAAATCTCATTTATACTTCTTCTTTTTTTGTTTTCAAAATTTACTGTGATTTGGGTGAAAGTTTACAGAGCAAATTCACTTTCCATACAGCAGCTCACTACAGTTTGTCTCATGACATGGATTACAATTTCCTATAATGCAACAGCTCCCCTCTCACTTCCTCCCCATAGTTACCTCTTCCCTGTGTCCTTCTCTCCCATGAGCTCCCGCCTCCCAAACTCTCATCCTGTGAATACACAGTCCTTCTATTCTTCTATGATTGATCCCTCCAAGAAGTATATCTATCTAATGTAAATGTTCAGCTCATGTACCTGTCTTTTGTTTGGCTGGAAGCCATGGGAGTGGGTTAAATTCCAGATTTGAAGGGCAGCTAGGGTCCATAGTTTCAGTGGTTCCATCAGGCTCTATCAGACCAGCAAACTTGGTCCCCTTTTTATTTTATTTTTTTTAAGATTTTGAGCTTTGTTCCACATTGTTCTCCCACTCTATCCAGGATCTCCTATGTAAACCAGATGGTAATACTTTTTGAAAAATTATAAAATATTTTAATGGGAAGGAATTACTAAATAATAAAACATAGGAATAACTTTGGGAGCTCTGGTAGCATAGTGGCTAAGGCACTTGACTGCTAACCAGAAGGCTGGCGGTTCAAACCCACCACCCACTCCTTGGAAGGAAGATGGGGCAACCTACTTCCGTAGTGATACTGCCTTGGAAACCAAGGAGGGGTCGCTATGGGTCGGGTCCGACTGATGGCACATAACAACAACAACAACAACAACAACAGGAATAACTTTAATGAAAGAAAAATGATGCAGTGGTATTTTGACCTTGCAGTAATAAATAATATTAAAAAAGATCTTCAAAATTGAACTTGCTTATTTTACTTATGCATCATCACTCCTAATAAGTCACAGCAGAAGACTTATTATGGACCTATATATGTTAAAATTCTGTAAGCTAAATAAGTTCAAAGGATTATTTTAAGCCACAACAGGCTTTCAAGCTCATGTATACTCTCTAGAACCTCTCAAAGCTTATGATTCCATAGAAGATCAGATCCCACATCTCGAACCTCAAATCCTTCCCTCCAAAGAAAAAGATGATCAGGGTTGGGTCATATGTCAGCTACTGATGAAATCATCAGGGGTATAGTTTCACAAAAAAATTATTAAATTTATGTATATCTCTAAAATATGCATATAATCCCACTGTTCTCTAATGCTCCTGAAAATATAAGTATATCCTAGGTTTTTCCATTCAACTATGAAGGTTTAATGCCCAAAGACATTGCTGAGTTTTCTTGTTGGAATCACCAAGTCAACCTTTAGACCTACAAATCCTAGCATTTTAATTCAATTAATTTTGGAATGGGTGTTTTGCCACGACTTAACTGATTTACATGCCTTGATATGCAGTGGGATTTCAAGAATAAAGATTTGCTATCTGTGCTACTTTATTACTACCTTGTCCCATATCAAAGCCCAGGGAATTGTTCTCACCTTCAACATACAAATTTGCCTCAGCTCATTTGCAGTATCATGCATTCTCATTCTTTCTACTTGGGCAATTTTATAATTGGTCTCATTATGTCATCTTTAGTTAAGGTTCTTTCCTTTCTTCTGTTTTCATACACTAATATATTCAGTCTGTTATTACTTAGCCTTAACATTAGTTTAGACTTTGTATCTACCTGTACTTCTACTTTCTCACATTTCTTGGACTTCTTGAGCTACTTACTTTTCTTCAATTCAAACATTTTCATTAAAATAATGTATAGGCTGCTACTTCACTATGCCTTCTTGCATAGTGGTTCCCAAGCATTTACAGATTACATGCTTATGTATTTGGTAAATTGCTTCTATTTTAATTCCCCTTTAAATTATATATTGTAGTAATTGTATTTATATATTTTAAAAAATTAGATATAAAGGTGTAAAGCATTACCATTCACTATTATTTCAGCATAGTAAGTGATTTGGTGTGAAACATCAGTGTAGGCTCTGATAGGGTTTGAACCAATGCTATATGAGAGCTTTAAGTCATTATAAGGACTGGCTTTTACTCTAGGTGGAATGGATTATTATAAGATATGAGCAGAGGTGTGATGTGATGTGATTTTCACTTTAAGAGTAAACTAAAATGGTATTGATACAATGACAGACAGTTAGAACAATGGAATAGAACTGAGAAACCACAAATAGATCAGCTGACAGAGGGCCAAAATCCATTAAATGGGGAAGAGAATGTTTGTTTAATAAATGGTGCTGGCAAAACTGGAGATCCATTTGCAGAAAAATGAAACTAGATCTCTACTTCACACCATACACAAAAACTAACTCCAGATGGATCAAAGCCTTAAATGTAAAACCTAAAACTATAAAGTTCCTCAAAGAAAAACTAGGGGCAAATTTAGGGGCCTTAATATATGGCATAAACAGACAACAAAGCATAACCCAAAATACACAAACAACAGAAGAGAAACTAGATGAATTGAACCTTCTAAAATTTATATTTTTATGTACTTCCAAAGACTTTTCCAAAAGAGTCAAAAGAGAACCTACAGATTGGGAAAAAAATATTCAGGAGTGACATATCTGACAAGGGACTTATCTGTAGAATTTATAGAAAACTCCAACATCTCAACAACAAAAAAGACAAATAATCTAATTAAAAATGGGCAGAAGACATGAATAGACACTTCACTAAAGAGAATATTCAGCTGGCCAACAAAAATATGAAGAAATGCTCATGATCCTTAGCCATTAGAGAGAAACAAATCAAACCAACAATGAGATACCATCTTGTCCTAGCACTAGTAGCAAAGTTCAACAAGACAGAAAATAACAAATGCTGTTGAGGATGCAGAGAGATTGTGACTCTCATACATTGCAGGTGGGACTGTCAAATGATACAACCACCATGGAAAGCAGTATGGGGATTCCTTAAAAATTTGGAGTTAAAAATACCATTTGACACAACAATTTCATTACTAGGTATATATCCTAAAGAAGTGAGAGCCAGGACAGGAACAGATATATGCACACCCACGTTTATCACAGCACTATTTACAATAGCCAAAAGATGGAAACAACCCAGATGCCCATCAACGGAAGAATGGATAAGCAAACTATGGTGCATACACACACTGGAATGTTATACAACCCAAAAGAATAACATATAATCTGCAAAACACCACATAACATGGATGAACTTGGAGGACATTATTCTGAGTGAAATAAGTTAGTCACAGAA